ACCTGTATAGCCGTAAAAGCTGAAAAGACTTAAAGTCAGAAGACAGAAAGACAAAAACGAAGCACGTTCACGAGAGTCTGAAGTGCAAGCTTTATGTCGCTTCCTATTGAGACGTAATCTTTTTATATAGGTTGAGACTTCCAAGGTAAGCACAAGTACCATTTTGATGAACAATACAACACAGGTATCCTCTCTACTGTAAACAAGCACAGTGCCAGCTCACATGTGAGTTTGCGCCCACAAATACGTCAGGAAGACAGCAAGCTTGCACTCTAGATTCTCGTGAATGAGCTCAGGGCCATTTGCCTTAGGCTATGGATTACAAGTAAATAATGTTCAGTTTCTTGCATAGACAGGTCATTTCACTTCATAAGACCTCAATATACAGTATATCGTTAGGAGCCATGGTAATAAATTTGTGTTGCCTGTATATGCATTTCTGACTCTCAAAGTGATAGTATCTGGGAACTGCATTTTATGAACCACTAAGGACGACGGTTTCAGATAAAAATCTTTACTGTTCAACTGAAGAAAAAAGTTACCTACATCTTGTCTGACCTGAGAATGACTAAATTAACAGTAAATGTTCATTTTTGGGTGACCGATTGCTTTAAAGTGCAGGAAGAACAGTGATGCTAATGCTAATACTAGCTAGAGAATGCCCCTATAACAGGAGGTATGAGTAGATTAATTGATAACAAAACATATAATGTTCTACTTCAGGCTTTCTGTGAACAAATGTACCATCTATTCTAGTTGGAACAATTGCACTAGCACCAGGAAAGCAGTTCAGATGTGGCACAAGAATGAATGTAATTTTCACAGTTCATGTGAACTAACGCCTCCCTTTCCCACTTTTATCTTCAGTTGGCAATTATGTTTATTCAAGGCCCAGCATATACATGCCATGAATTAACTTCCCTTTGTTTCTATGGTTACTCCTTAAGACCAGTGCAACAAAGCACTTTGGCTGCTCAACTCGTCTGGTGACAGTCTGGATTGTTGTACGTGTAATTACGGTGGAATGTTTACTCCAATCATAGTCATTACTGTTCAAGCTCACCTGGACAGGCAACTGAAAATGAGTGCTAGGCCATAAAAAACATTTCACCGTGTGTTGTGCTCAATGCCACTGCAAGTCTGCATACCGCCAAACAGCTGTGCCTCTCAATGCTGACCTGCATGCATGCACGTACAAGTATACACCCTCCATTTACACACCTTGAAACCTTGGAATGGGCAGTCAACTAATGAATTGTGGCAGCAGTTTAAAAGAAATGAAGTTCGGACTTCACACAATGTCTATACCACACGTGAATGAGCATCACATGTAGACAGTGAAAACAGTATCGCTTTTATAAGAGAAGCCTTGTCACGTCACCACTCACTCCTAGTGAAGACACTACAACCCTCTCAGAGAAGAGCTGTTTTGTCACAAATTCACCTACAATTATAGATTTCTTAAAGTGAAAGGCATTTTACACTGTATGCAATCTTGTCATCCATACATACACATGAATGGCACTGAAAAACAAGCTAGCAAATGCTAAACGACATGGTACATTTGTAAGATTATGTAAATATTGCGTTCCGTGCTATATGAAAGTGATATATAAATTAACAATATTTATTTATTTTTCTCCATAAACATCTATCCTTTACATTCCAGGACGAACCAAATTTTTTCTGTGCTAAAAAAACTGCTGCTGAAGGTTTTGCTGGACAGCTTAAGGCCAAAGTATACTTTGGTTTTTACACGTACGCAAGGGTCACCAGAATAGTATACGCAATTTTTGTAACAGGTCGCATATGCTCATTGAATCTCTTTTGAACTAATCAATTGCTCCACAAGGTGGCAACACTGGCACTGGAGGTTATTTCACAGTAGAAAATGAAACCAAATAGACGGAATAACAACAGCAACAAATAGCGGAGACTGCAACAACAACAGACACCCGCATTGACAAGCACCTGTGTGAGGGGTTATGAAATAGCAGCAACTTTAGTTTAAAAGAGTACTTAGAGAGAGTACTTAGATATAAGGTATTTTTATTGGCCATAACAACCTGATCTCATGGCAATTCATACATATTTTATGAGGTGGCTAATTTATACGACCTCACTTGTACAAATTTGTAAATTCGTACTAATTAGCCATCTCGTAAAATATGTGCTACTTGGTCATGAGATAGCGTTGGTCATAACTTCTGGAGAGAAATAGCACAGACACGGGACTAAGATGAAGCTTTCCAGAGTGCATGTGTCAACCGCCTATCAAATGGAGTATACTTTGTAAGGCTACATGTTCTACTTTACACATATGCTAGCCTTAATTTTACCATGTATTTGATCACTTCTGATTGGTCAGCAACATACTGCAGCAGTAAATAATTAAAATATATACAAGACTAATTAGGTGCTCAAAGAACCCACAAAATAGTGAACTTGCCCAAACCTCCAGTGAAAGGATTGTATTTGGTACTTTCCCATTTAAAACTTTTGACACCCACATATACAACATACACACCAAATCTTTTACCATTCATTGCACATTTTTTACCCACATGGACAGCCGCTCTGATCTCTAGACAGACAAATCTCTCAACCTCATTTTCTTTCTCTTTCTCTCATCCCCTTTGGAGTCAATAGAGCACGTGGCTATCTAAAACAGTCATATCCTTTTAATCAGTTCTACCCCAACTCCCACCTAGCAAAGGCTCAGATGATTCACTCACATGACCCTGTACACGATGCTCAGTTCAGGGTTGTTTTGAACCATTTCATCTCGCGGAGCACCGAGGTGGAATAGCAAAGCACAGCAGACTATTGAGTGTGACAGTGCATCCTGAAGCTCTGGGAAGCTCTTTGGGCCCTCTGTCTGTATTCATTATAGGAGCCAGCTAGAATGTCAATACACTAATCATATGCTCCGTCACTCTGGAGCATATGCCGAGAAGGGGGGTTAGGGAAAAGTCAACTTCTCAGCCATGCATCTAGCCATCATCCGCTCCTCTGTTTTCTTACTAGTTGCCCACTAATATTTATACAGTACAGGCTGAAATAAAGAAAGTTAAATCACCTTATGGAAGCCAAAGATGCCTTACAAAAAGACTATGGAAACATGGTTCAGCAATCATGGTACTTTGATTTACCTTGGCACTGAGTGCCTTATTCATAGACTAAGGTACTTAAACAGTACTTTATGTGGGTACATTATGTGGGTGTCCATTTATAAGGTAATACCATTATATATATATTTTTTGTAAAGCAATTGTAAGGTAACACCTTGCATTAACGTGATTGAATTACAATAAGATAACACTTAATACAAGCCAGGTTTACAATAATTGCACCCAATACACATTGTGATTCAATCACTGCAACCACATTCAGCGGTGTTCAGGGATGGATGCTGATCACTGCTGTTCTGAAAATTATTTTTCATAAAATGTTATTTGAAATCAAAGATCATAACAACACCTAAAGGTTGACTGGATACAGATTGACCTTGTCCCTCGTCACTTTCTCCTCCAACTCTAATTGTAATCTAATTAACATTTTACTTACAAGAGAGGATCCAGCCTCCTGCTTGTTGTACAATAAGAATAACTGCAGGTCTGGATGTTCACTACCAGCCCTTGATTTAAATTTAGAAGTTTGATAATGACTCCTTTATAGGATGCTCTTCATTAATTTTTTGGCACGCCTGAAAGCAAGGTGTTGCACTGGCATTTCTTATTCTGCATACTCTGATCAAGTCAAACATCTGTGGAAAGGTATCTGGAGGTCTTAGTGAACTGCTAGGTGGAGCAAGTTATTAGTCTTGATTTTAATTAAACAGCAATTAATATTTTATACCAGTTTCACACCTTAAATAAGCAGTTTACTGTTAATCCATCATGTGTCACTTGTGCACAAACTAACACTAATGCATATTTATGTCCAGAAAGCAGCTAGTCAAAGTCTTTTTAAGAAAAATCACACAACAGGCACCATATTGAGCATTTCTATCACTCATACATGTATGAGTGGATTGTCCCTGGCGTATGCAATCTCTGATAGTGCAGTTCTTCAATTTCTCAGCCTTTGGTTACTAATTTAATGCTAGTTACACAAATTAGTGGCTGTTAGTAACAAACAATCAAGTATGTCCCATATTCAGCATTCAAAGAATGCCAGGGTGTCCAAAATAAAAACTGACCTCATTCCTAACCATAACAATAAAATTCCTGGTAGGCACTAGTATTTGGGATGAAACAAGAGGTGGTACCCAACATAACTTCCTACTTCTTCTGTTCATCCACCCAGGAGTTTAAATTAAGAGGGAAAAACAAATCTATTTTCTCTCTCTTCCTCGTCATTATGTTTCTGTGACATAGCAGTCTCCCTGCGTATCCGCTTCTTTTGAGATCAACTCCAAAGAAAACAGACGTGCAATTATACATCAGACTGCAAACATTAACCTTGTCCTACATGGGGTCACATCTGTCTGTTGTCTCAGAATGACCCGGAAGTGCTTGGGCAGGTGGCAGCATCCCAAGTGGATCTAAAAACTTAGCTGTCGTCATTCTCCACAAAGGGAGAGGCCCCTGATCACTCTTTAATGTCCCATGTTGTCACTTGGCTTGAGAAATTTGTCAAATGTGTTTTCCAGGACCATCCCAGAAGAGTTCCTGTCACCAGCCTTTTGCAAATACCAGTGGAATTGAGAAACTAATACATTGAAGCAGTGATCTAGTAGACACGCAACTCTACAGGGATAATCCTACTGGAGCAACATAGGGTTAAGGTGCCTTTCTCAAGAAGGAACTCTTCTGGTTGCCAGTCAATAGTTACTATGCCACGCCATCCTATAATAATATACCACATCACACCAAGTCCAAAATCTGTAACCTTGATTTTTAGTTAAGGTAAAGATCCAGAGGCATCTAGTTTGCTACCATGCTTTGCTACATAAGGATGTTTGAGGGTCCATTAAGTGATCTATGTTGAATTCTTACCTGATGAAAAAGGATGCCGCAGCTGAAGTGGGATGATCAGAGGAAGCAGACACAGCCTGGCCAAAATGACCCGGACTTCTCTGTCTGGAGGGAGTCAGGGACACTCTGGAGATGGTGGTATCTGAATGCCATTCGTTCTGCTCTGCTTGACCTACGAGGCCTTGTGTCTGGGGTGGGGAGAAGCAGGAGAGGAAATGCTTCAAACTCTGGATCCCAATAATATGACATTAAATTACCTTCTTACATAGTTCCATGAATCACACGCCTAGGTCACGGAGGATCACACCTTCTTGAAGGAATAGAGCAAGTCCTTACAAGGAGCAAGAGGCAGTTCCCTTATGGATTATGTTTCAAAGGTCACAAATAAAAAGAAGGAGGTAACACTTACTCACATGCATTTATCATAAAGTACATAATTAACCACCAGGGAGGAACATTATTCCCTGTACTAAAGGTATGAATAGGGTTTCAGTGGGTAGAGATTAGACCGATTCACAAGAAATGTGAAATCCTTAGCCAGAATCATAGTAAGATTCAGAGGTTGTCAATCCAGACATGGGTCCACCAGGTCTCCCATGATTTGAGGCAATACAGGCAAGCTCTCGAGAAAGTGGACAGGTCAAGAAACTAGTCTTCTATCAGTGTCTCCAATGGTGTTCCCACAAAAGCTCAAAATCTGGGTGCTTGATATATGCATGATTCTACAAATCGACTCTACACTGTGATATTTGAAATGCTGTTACATAATTCTTGCATGAAGTCTGTGAGAAATATCTTTTTTGCAGATAATAAAATAAAACATCTAGAACATATTGGTTGGTAGTTGTTAAATATTCTTGCACTGGAGCCCATTCATTCACTGACGTTTTCATTATTTTACCAGAGTTGCTCTTTGTCTCCGAGGCTTGTGAGTAACTAAGTAGCTTAAACCCACAATCAATATGATCTGTCAAGTGCTTGTTTTGAATGTAGGCAGTGTGTTAAAAGGCTTCAGGTAAGGTTGGGCAATTTCCCAGAGAATATCATGAGTTAGTCACTGACAGCACATTGAGCAAATGTCGTCTATGTTGCGGTGGTTGTGCATAATGGCTGGATTCGTGTTTGCTCTGGATTCATGTCTGGCAACTAAAATAACATCATTAACAATCTTTTCATGAAGCATAGACCATCCAGTGCGTGATGCGTCAACAGAACTCTGACAGGAGAACTATTTATTTATGGATGACATATGAGCTCCATATATCACAAACCTTCAGACATATGGAAGGATTACTCACACGAGATGGAGTACGACAAGCAGCATCCATTCTGTTTCTAGTCTGCACTTTGTTGAACTGTGACATTTGGTTGAATAATTACTATTACATAAGCTTCAACTGATTTGAGGGTTGGAGGGTTTTGAACAAAGGCAAAAGGTTTTGTTTTGTTTGAGTTGTTTACGTCTGTTTATTCAGATGCTCCAGGATTGTGTTTGTGTCTATAACTGCTTTCTGTGTACGGTTGAAATCAATAATTGTTATGTCTGTCAGTTCTGTCGCAGAAATGGCAATTCCATTGTTCGAAATTACAAAGTATGCATGTGGACATGACTTAAACTTCAATTAGTTTTTTTGGGGGGAATGACTATTCATACACAATAGCTGTTCCTGCGGCTTTTTATGTGAGTTTTTTTACAGCTTAGGTGGGATCAAAAAACGATTCTGGTGTCCAGGTTTTTGAGCCCGTGAGAAGTCAGAAAGGGCTCCGATGAACTTAGCACTCATGCATTCATCAACGCAAAAAACGACATGCTGGATCCGTGACATGACAGAGTCCTATCGCAGCGCATGGCATTCCGGTTTCAGATGAGCCGTGATAAATCAAAACAGCGTCACACTGACAGTGAATGGTGTCTATCTGGACAGAATGGTAATCCCCACGTACAGATAAAGAAGGAACGGGTGTCACATTTCACATCAACAGGATGTTTAAAGGGGCTACGCAGTCGAAGCGAGACAGAATTTGGGATGCACAAACATAGACATTAGATGCACATTCAAGCACACACACACACTGAAGCAGCTGTCAAAAAAACCCACTATGGGTTTTTGAGGACTTAAGCCCTCCAGTCAAGCTGTTTTCATGAGTGTCAGACACAGAGCACGAGGTGCACGTGCTGTATCCCCAGGTCGGGTCATTAAAGTACAGCTGCAGAGAGCTCCCAGCACTCGATAAAATCAGGTATTCTCTTTATGCTACACCCTACACCCTCTCTACAACCTCATCTCTACACTAGAGTCCAGAAAATCCAACTATTCACATCTCCTTCCGAATGTCTGTCTTTCCTTTTCTTTTCTGTTAAGGAGCAGCATAATTTCTCTCTCTTTCTCCTGCTCAGAGGGAGGCAGATCACAGTCTGTTCACGCTGCTTAAGGATTCCTGGTTTTGGGCTCCCAGTAGGCCAGTAGGTCATTCTAGCCCATATGAAACCCACGTGAAAAATCCCATCTCGCTATGCTCTAATAATTTTATCTGCCAGCTTGAGTAAAGAGCAATAAACCTGACAGTAACATGCTCTCAAGACGGATTTTATTTTCATTTTAAAGGTGTTACTCATCAGATTATAGTAAAATATGTTTGACCAAATGCTCTAAGAAACAAACATTTTTTCTGTGTATGTTGTAGTGTTAATTTCGTTAACGAAAACTATGATGAAAAATGTTGGTTGACAAGCTTTTTTCCTATGACTAGGACTAGGGGTGCGCCGATCCGATATTCAGTATCGGTATCACTCCAATACTGCCACTTTATGCTGGATCTGGGTATCGGTCAGACGAGACCGATCCAAATCCGATATTGTGCGTATACTATTCTGTGTTATTGTTAAGCCCAACGAAAGGCACAAAAACATTATATAGCACAATAAAGTTTCCGTGCACTATATTTCAAGTGTTCTGAGACCGTTCCATAGTTTAATGTGAGGTACAGATGAATATTTAAGTCGTTAAATTCAAGTTTTAGTAAACTCTTCTCTCCTCTGCGGCTGTCAGTCATCCTCCATTCAGCATTCAAACTGCGCGTCACGTTCGGTTACGACAGTCAAGACGATGAAACTCTCTCTAGGATGATACAATGTTCCTATTATTATACTTGATCTGTAGATAAACATCAGCGGTTTTGCATGAAAGGACTTTATCTTGCTGGAGTTAAGTGCTAATTCTAAATCATGTTACTTTCTACCGGGTGTCTGTTAGACCACAACACTGGAGTAGAAAGCACTATGAATTGTTTTTCATGCGCACAGTAACTGAAATTTAAAACTTAAAAGAAAAGGCTCAATAAACTATTGCACAGATATCATACACTACGCATCAATGTCTCTTCCCTTTGGGCTTTGAACTTTTCTATGCGGTGCGCTGCGCGCTGTGACTCTGTGTTGCTTCAAGCGCATCATTCTGCGACATGGGATGCGCATAAGCGCTTTGTGCCGCTCTGTATTGGAGCCTTTCATGTTATAATACTTTTGCGCAATGAAATATTGTTAATAGCCTTTCTTGTTCTGTCTTATCTATCATATGTTGCTGCCTCATTACTGTGCTATACATGTAAAAGAAATGTATTTAATTTATTGCATACATTTATATATAATTATATTTACTTGTTTTTCATGATTGTATATTACAATATAAAGAGCAATGTGTAACATTTTACCAGATTACACCTATTTACTTTAATTTTTCCCACCACTAAATAATGTTTTTTCTCTAAATGTTTAGATTTTATAAAATTATTGTGAACTCATCATTTTTGTAGAGTAAATGTTGCTGCTGGGAAAAAAAAAAAAAACTGTGCTGGTATCGGATTGATATCGGTATTGTCCGATACTCAGAACCTTTGGTATCGGATCGGGATCGGTTCTGAAAAAATGGTATCGTGCCACCCCTAACTAAAACGTGATGATGGCAAGATGACAATAAGGTGAATGAACGATAACTCTGACTATAACAACATGCAATATCGTTGACGATAAAAGACGTGACCAAAATGTATTTTAAAAAATAAAAACTTTACAAAAAATTATTTTTATTTTCCTCAAAAAAAAGGAGACAAAATATTTCTGCAGACTATTGTACATGCCTCTACTACGCAAGCTATCATGTGTGCGGTTGCCAGATATCAAGAGTTGAAATCCCCAAATCAGATCGCTCTTAAAAGGATAAATTTTCTGCTTATTTGTTTGCAATCTGGCAACCATGCACATGCACTCACTCTTCATTACGGAAGTGCCGATGATAAAGGCTATACCATCTTATAATTTGGCAAGTTATCTTAGAAGTTCTGTAACAGCCTGAAGTCAGAAGTGTGGCTATGATGTCTAAAAATTTGGCGTTTTGGAACAGAACTTCAATGGCAGAATTATCAGGTATTGTAAGTGGATTTGTAAAACGCATCATTCGAATTTCAAAATAACAGACTCGTTCTTGATTGTGTGTATGAATATGTTCTTATTCCGCTTTATAAACAAGTATTATGATGGCAGCACATTGATAGTATCAGATGGTAATATCATGGTACTTGAATATTGTGATAAATTGTTACCATGGGCAATCCAAGAGACTTAAAGGGGTGGTTGACTTTTTTTTTTTTCTAGGCTTGATTGTGTTTATGGGGTGCAGTCTAACATGTGTTCATGCTTCGTTTAAAAAAAACCGCATTATTTTTCACATAATTTACCTTTATTCCACATCGCTCTGTCCTTTCTCCTATAAACGCGCTGATCATTTCCTGCTTTTATGAAGCCCCTCAGAAATACGCAATGGGCTCAGATTGGTTAGCTAGCCCAGTGTGTTGTGATTCGCTAAACCGCCATTGCGCGTCTAAATGTCCTGCCCCTCACCTCAGCAGCATGTGCTCTGGTTGTATTGTAAACAATGGCGTCGTCTATATTGCTTATCAATTTGAGCCCGATTGAGACGCAGAGGATATTAGTAAAGAGGATCGTGCAGAAGCTGTGCAAGCACAGCTCTTAATGGTATGTTTGTTTGTTGGTGTCTCATACTTTTAGATATGCTGTTATTTGTAAATGCTACTGCTTATGTTAGCTTTTCATATATGGTTTTATCCTGATTAAAGCTTTAATACAGTACGGCAACTGCACGCGCGTCCATGTTTAACGCTTCTTATAGCTATGTGAAAATAAGTTTATAATATTAATTGGAACAGTTTATTGTTGGAGCTGAGCTGATGATCTGAATGAGAGAGAGAGAGAGAGATGCAGAGCGTGTGTAGATCAGGGGACGTGAGGAACATGATTAAGAGCCGCTGCTTTAGAACATTGATTTTGAAACTTGTGAATCTATTAGAATCGTTAGAAGACAGAATCGTGATTCATATATGATTCATATATATTTGCAATTGGCCATTTGTTGTGATAAACAGGAAAGTGTGTCCAGCTGAATTCTTCGCCCCCTGTGTTGCATGTTCCCAGGGGCCAGGTTTATATGGGTTTGTGATGACACAAACCCGGGAAGTAACTTGTTGTAGTCCCTTCGAGCCATTTTTGTAGGCATTAAACTGCCAGAATTTTAAAAGACGATATCTCCGTTTGCATTGAACTTTCATCTTCGTAACTTTGCAGATATTGTTTATGCTCAAACAGCAATATTACACACTAACTAACGTTAAAAAAGTGAAATCGCAATGAACCACCCCTTTAAAAGAAATGCAATAGTGTTACCATACCACATGTTCAAGAAAAAATACATGTGGTCTAAGCATTTCAAGAATTCGTTTGAATCTAAACTTGATAGCTGTCAGCTTCATTTTGTGTTGATGGTGATGCCCCTAAACTTTGCATCAAAGTGTTTCTTGCCATTTGACGTTTCACTTCTTGCTTTCCAGGAACTCTCACCTGCTTCAAAAGTAGTGATGTGCCTTTACCAAGTAGCACAAACATAAAAATCTACTTCACAGAACACAAGACCCCTCCAAAGACTTCCTGTCAGACTCAGTCCATCTCAATGGCTTTATCTCCTCCTCTTTTCTCCTGCTGCTTGTCATTTCTCCCCACAGAAATCAGATGAGTTAAAGCTCTTTGCTCAAGGCTCCGCTGAATTCCCAGCGCACTTCATGCATTATTGTCATCCCTCCAATCTAATGAAAGGAAGGAGCCTTTCCAAATTATACAAGGCACGTCTTTGAACAAGGGAAAAGCGTAGAGCTCAGAGCTATTCCTGTGCAAGCCTACATGTGTGAATTGTGTGTTTGCGTAAAGCAGACAGCTTCTGTTGGTTTTTCAAGATGTACTGGGCCAGTAGTTGGTCGGCTTTTTTATTCAAGGCTTTTTGCTTTGTGCTTTGTGCACAAACACATGCTGGTTGCTAAAAGCTTCAGTGGCGGCTCGCGCACAGGAATAAAAGCACTTGTTGACATTAACTCAAATAGGAAATGCACAGGCTATTGTTAATCTCCTATCATCCATAGCGGTAACAGTTGGCAGGAATAAAAAGGATCTATCAGAGGCAACTGCAAAAGATTGTAAAAGCAACATCAATACTACAGAAAGAGGTTATATGTATTACAATTAGACACAGCTCTGATGCAACAGAGACTCAGATATGAAAGACAGTCAGGAATAGTTCAGCTGACTACCTGTGGTGGTGAGTTTTGTTTAGTTTACTCTTACACTTAGTACACATGAGCAGTCTACTGTGGAATGTAACAGTGCCGTAAGGCAGCTAGTCAATGAAACGAAGGAGTAATAAAATGAACTCCTCAAGCTGTCAATCTGCCAACCTGCATTCTAGTGATCGATCGATTTATGGCTGAGACCAATATATCAGCCAGGTGAATAATCATATTCAGCCATTATGAGAATAATGTCAATAGTCAATAACCGTCTCTGTTTAATTATTTTAATTGCTGCATATATACACTATCATTCTGCATTTATTTGATCAAAAAATATATATAATGAAAAATTATTCCAATTTAAAATAACTGTTTTCTATTTTATTATATTTTAAAATATAATTCCAGTGATGGCAAAGCTGAATTTTTAACAGCCATTACTCCAGTCACACGATCACTAACAAATAATTTTAATATGCTAATTTGGTGATAAAAATAACCATTCTTATTCTTTTCACATTTGAAATCAGTTCTGCTTTTTTATATTTTTTTGTGGAAACCGTGATATCTTATTCCTCAGGATCCTTCGATGAATATGATTGTAAAAAGAACAGAATTTCTTTCAAATAGATTTTTTCATAACACTGTAAAAGTCTTTACTGTCACTTTTGATCAGTTTAATCCTTGCTAAATAAAAGTATTAGTTAATTTAAAAAATAAATAAAATAAAATACAAAAATAAAATAAAACAATAAAAGTAAAATAATACAAAAATAATACAAATTAAATAAATACAAAATCTTACTCATTTCATACTTTTAAATTGTAGTGTATATACTACCTCATTGTAAACATCACTGTAAAGTGTAACTGAAACACAAATGCTACATTCATTGACAATGTGATACGCATTTCCAAATCGCTCACTCACAATTCAGCAGGTGCATTGACAATGAGTAACTGCACTACAAGTGTACAAATCTGTAAATGAGACAGCATAATCTGTTAACACACTGTCTCAGTGCTCTTATGTTTCAAACATGCTCTCTATGTATAACTGGGTGCATGTGATTTAATTATGCAGGTGTTTTCAACTGCGATTCATTCAGACAGCTGTAGGCTCAATTAACCAGACCAATCGTCAACTGATGTCTGCTGGTGAATAATAATGCTCTTCAAATTGAACTTTTCCATACCTCTCAATCACTGTATGGCAGCAACAGCAGCTCTTTTGACTTGGAAAGATCAAAAATACATCCAAACGACTGTTATTTTCAACCCATACACCCTTTAAAAGCTCCTATTGTGAAAGATGAAGACTTTGCAGGGAATAAACATGGTCACTTCTATATTCTAAACACAGTGAGAATTAATGTTTTAGTAGTAAATGGGATCAACTGATTACCATTAAATTAATTTAATGCATAAACAAAAGAGCTCATAGTTGGACAGAAATTAAAGGTTGTATACCGGGTTTGGCTGAGGCAGGAAGTTATTGACGCGTGAGATGCTCCACATGCCCTCCAAGTACTGCTGGGCTTGAATGGTGACTGAACTGATGGTCCCCGTCAGAGGTCTTCCTCCCATGGTCACCTGCACGCTGGGTTTCATTGCCCCAGCGCTGGAAGATGGGCTCTGAGACCAGCCTTGCTCACGCTGCCGCTCCCCCACAGGCAGGACACTGTGCGCTGGGTGAGGTATCCTCGATCTGGTAGGTCTGGAGGAAAGAGTGACCACGCTGTTTGTTTTCAGCCTGGTGGGATGCCCAGGGAAGGTGTTGGGAGGCAGGGATGGCATGTCAGAAGCAGGGTACAGTTCTTGGAGAGTCTGCAGTGCCTGCTGTTTTAGCTGCTGTGCAGGTGTGCCACACACCTGACACCTCGTTCCTTCAAGTCCGCCTTTCAGCGACCAATCGGGCACTTGCAGCTGGTCGATGATAAAGGAAGCAAATCCAGGGTCCTACAGAGAGCAAGAGACAACAAAATACAGTTACAGATAAAAATGATGCTTGTTTTGATTTTGTTTTCCACATGAATTCTGGTTTGGTTTCTAAAGTATAAAATAAGAATACAAAGCTGTAAATCTCAGATTTTTTAAAAATACATAATTATCCATTTTAAATAATGTTTTAAACAAAAATGACAACAATAATCATCTATTTTATTATTAGTACCATTATTATTATTATTATTATTGTTGTTGTTGTTGTTGTTGTTATTATTATTATCATCATTAACAAAAACCATCATATATATACATACATACATATATATATATATATATATACACACATACATACATACATTCATATACAGTATATATTAAGCTATAAAACTTTGTAATTAGAAAATAAAACAAATCTAAATTGATTACTTTAAAACAATGCAGCAACAACAACATCAGCAATAAATGTGTTATTATTACTATTAATATCAACAACAAGATATATATACACACACACATTTTAAATTTTTTTTACATATAATAAAATAGAATATTATTGTTTTTTGTATTATTCTTATTATTATTATTATTAAAAAATAATAGTAATACAATTGTTATAACTTATTTTTATCAGAGTTAGATATAGAATAAATAATACAGAATAAAATTATATTAAAGTATACATTTGCTTTTATATTTTCATATTTAGCTATGCTTGCTGACAAAAAAAAAACGTATTTCCTCAAAGTGATCAAATAAATAAATAAATAAAATGCAAATTGTTCTTATCACAATAACCAGCTTTTTATTAGCAGGCCATTTACAAATATGCCGAAAATGCACATTTGCATGCGTTTTACTGATCTAAACCAGCAAAGTCATTGCCTGCAGACATTTAGACAAGATCTTCCTTGTTTTCCCAGAAGTCTCATCTTAATTATAATATTTCAAACTAAGCAGAGCTGAAAAGTGAGAGTTTTGTGGGTGGAAGGATTGAGCGGTGGGGAGGCGGGTGATAGGGTGTAAAGAAAACAACAGCTGAGCCCGGGCATGAAGCACATTGCAGCATGTATTTACATTTGATAAGACTCCCAGCAGGGAGAGATATGACAAGAGACCCAGCATGAAAATAATCATCTCCCATTCAATGCCAAGGGCATGACGCCAGTCTACCTGATGGACAGGGGCTTATGTATGTGTACTCACACACAATGAAGAGCTTGGAGCAGGTAACTGTTGCTACAATACAGGATCACTTATCATGATAATACTACCGAACATAAAGGATTACACAGCCACCATTAGAAAAACACTTACACAAAAGGTAAACAAGGAATTGATAGGAATTAAATTACACTGAAAGCAGATTTTAAAGGAATTATTCACTGAAAAATGAAACTGTGTCATTATTTAGTCACTATTTTAATTTCATTTCTTTATTTCCTCCATGGAAAAAAAGAAGCTCAAACAGGTTTGGAATTACATGAGTTATTGAGGACAGAATGCTACTTTTAAAGCAAACCAGTCACTCATTTCGAATGCTGTAACTTCTCTCACACATCCACACACACATCTGGTCTTCTGAGAGACATATCTCACATTTTAGATCAGTATTAGTGAGGTTAGACCCTGACTGGAGCCCAGGGCAGCATTAATGTTTATGGTGCCTGATGTTCTCAGAGCCACAGTAGTAACCTGGATGAGTGAGAGCCCAAAGGCACAACCACAGCACATAAATCATCCACTATGAGACGTAAAATAAGGATATTTAGTGGAATTAACGCCATAATTACTACACAAAACCCTCGTAGGTCTCTTCAAGCATCTCAATTAAGCCAGGCTTCGATATGTAAGCAAAAATCATCCCACAACTCCTTTGTTTAATAAAATATGGGGTCTCCTATGACAGACGATTATTAGGAATGCAGGCAGATCCGTTTGTGATTTGTGCCCTGATTTTAAACTTCTCAACTCAGGTGCACTGGAGTCCAATTATTATAAATATTCTGTGTGGGACTATTCAAAAGGGCATGAATATTTAAAGATGATCATTTAGATAAATAGTTGAATAGTGCAGGCTGGGAACAGAAAGCTAGCAATATATTGAGAAGGAACCAGATAAGTTAGCCATGCTGAGAGGATTTATGCGCGTTTTCAAATGGAAAATTTCAGAATATGTGCGCATCTGTAATTTATTAAAAAATAAATAAAAATTTTACATCACGTTTTTTGATCAAATAAATGTAGTCTTGGTGAGTGAAAAACTTTTGAATGGCAGAATAAATCTAATTTTAAAACATCATCTAGTTCAGGGGTAGGCAAGTTCGGTCCTAGAGAACCAGAGTCCTGCAGAGTTCAGCTCCAACCCTAATCAAACACACCTGAACAAGCTAATCAATGTCTTCAGGATTACTAAGGCTATAGGCAGGTGAGGTTTTTTTTCAGGGTTGGAGCTGAACTCTGCAGGACTGTGGCTCTCTAGGACCGAACTTGCCTACCCCTGATCTAGTTGGATTTTTATGATATATTCCAGGTGAAATAGGGATTTCAATAAAAGAAAATGAAGAGTGGGACTTGATGTTATCCATCTGTAACTGATTGGATACTGAAAATACATACCAAAATGAAGATCAGAAAAAGTAATTTCAGAGGTGGAGCAAGTTAACACTTTTTGTTTAAAAAAAATAAATAAATAAATAAAATTGTTTTTTTTGTTTTTTTTCTTTGAACTAACGTGCACAGAATCATGGACAACGAGACAACACACAAGGTTGTAAATAGGTTGAATTCTGATTACACATTGACTATGCATGTCTACACAAAGACATGCATGTACTTGCTGTGGTACAGTAAAATGCACCACCATTAGGATGTTACCATCCATCCACCAATGCCAGAAAGAGAAGTATAAAAAATGAAAAGTGAGAGAGTGAGCAAAGTAAGATGAGGGTTAGACCCCTGGCCTTGGGGCTTGTAGTTGGCCATTGTGTGACTTTATTGGCAGTCAGCTCTGGGTTTTTATGAAGCTCTGGGGATGAATGCAGGAGCCTATCTGCTGATTAGTGATGCACTAAAGAACAGAAAGGGAACAGAAGGATAAATGACTACATGTGTGCCCCCAGCCCGCTAGTCTGACTGTCTCTAAAACTAATGATGATGAGATATGAGTGTGGGGAAAGGACAGAGAATACGAGGGTGGGGGAGGACTTACAGAGACAGAAAAAAAGAGAGAGAAAGAAAACGAGATGCAGAAGATATAACTGACAATGAGAAAGTGAAAAGAGAGAATAATACAAGAGATGATGGATGATTTAAACAAAACAAAAAAAACTGTATCTATGATATTTGACCATTACTCAGAATGAAAAGGATTGGTTAAATAGCACATTTAATTCAACAAGACCAAAAACAAGGCTGTGAGGAACAGAAGTAGCCTACAGTCCATTTAATACGTCAAAGCTAAGAAACATTCTTTCTATGAATTTCCAGTGGACAAAGAAATGCTTTTAAGAATTAGATGTTCACCTTAAGCAGCAACTGTTTAACTCGAAGGTCTGCCCCATTGTTCAAAAAAATTATTAAATAAAATATTTCTTCAAGCATTTCTGCTGACAAAGCAGAACTTCCAGAACTTTCAAAAAAAGCTATGTTCTAACTTCTTCAATAAAAACAAAAGGTGTTGAGGGAAAATATTTAAAAGAAGAAATATTATTTATTACAGAATTTATTTTAATTTAAATTAAGTCATGAAAATTCAGTGAAAACGTTTATGGTACATTTCTGTCATCATTTACTCATTCTCATGCCATTCTAAAGCCCCGTTCACACCAAGAACGATAACTATAAAGATAACTATAAAGATAACGATATTAGCGTCCACACCAGCGAACGATATCATCCGTTTATTCTAAGCGCACATGCGTCTGCCGCTTTAAATTCTTGAGCTCGTTACAGCAGGATGGATTCTGATTAAAAAATATCAGTGGTGTCCGAAATAAAACTGGACCCCATTGACATTTCTTTATGGACTCACCACCAACCTTGCCTTTCAGTCTATGGAAAAGAACAGTTGAAGCATTCTTTAAAATATCTTCTTTTGTGTTCCATAGAAGACAGAAATTCAAACAAGTTTGGAACAACATGTTATCTTTTACAACCTAGTCATCAAATGAAAGGAGTCTATTGTATTAGGACAGCCTACAAGTTTGAAACACTAAAATTACGTATGTATTCATTCATAAACGAATACGCTACTTACTGAGGTTCAAGCAACTGGTAAAGATGACCTGGCACTTTTGCTGCAGGTATTGAGGGTGGAGAGCGGGTTGCGTGAAAGTCCCAGGAACAGCTGTTGCTACACACACCCTGTAGTGAAAAGGTGAGCGCTGGGTCTTCTCACAGCAGGCCATTAATACAGATTGCATTTACTATACTCTAAAAAGCTAAAGACCACATCCAGCGTTAATCCCCATGGACCTCTACACAAACGCACACACACACATATGCCATGGTCAATCTACCCAACAGCACTGCAGCCCAGGAGGGATTCCTAAGCAGGGCCATAATGTAGGCTATAGAGCAGGAGCTCTGAGATCCTCTGGGCCTCTATGGGTGTAATTACAGGAGCAGGAGCATATAGGACGGCGGCAGGTGTGTGCGCTTGCACACCTGCATCTATATCTGTGTGTTTGTGTGGAATAAAAGCATTTGGGGTTTGGCTTTCCTTAGCTGCCAGTAAGTAAGAAAAAACTCGTAACATTTTAGATTAGGGAACACAATCAACTAGTTGCTTATTAGCATGCATATTACTAGTATATTGGCTCTTTATTAGTATAAAGCACATATCAATGCCTTATTGTGCATGACACTATTCTAGGTCATTTACCCCTAGCCAATACCTAAACATAACAACTACCTTACTTACTATCAATAAGTAGCAACTTATGATTTAATTGAGGGCAAACACTTCCACTACCAATAGTAATAGACTCTAAATTGTGACTGTTTAACAAACA